GAAACACAAAAACACATGCGTTATTAAAAAACAAAACCCATACGTAGCAAGTGCTTAAAAATAGTTGAGAAAGATATAACAGAAAAAAATAAGGCATAGAGTATACCATGTTGTTAGAACAATCAGGAGTTGCAGTTTTATATATAATTCACTATTCAAGTATGTGCGCATATGTGTGTATAACATTTATTTGACTATCATGCTTTTTTAAATCTACATATATTGAGTCCCATAATTAATTATAATTATATATATAACTGTGTCCCATAATTCATTATGTTTATCCATGCAAGGTCCACATCTATAGGCAATGTAATCAGGTCTTCAGTCCATTGAGTGACATTTATCTTTCCAATGTTGCAATATAGCTATAATAGGAGCTCAGAGAATCAATTTACATTGTCCAGTTGTCAAATTTCGTGCATTAGATTTGTAATGCATGAGAATATTATCCTCTGAAAATTACACAATTTGCTACATAGCCATGTTTATATGGTACACCTTTTTCTCCCAAAACGCATTAACAAAGGACAATGTTTCTCAACCTTGGTGATTTTAAAATGGGTGGACTTCTACTCCCAATATTCCCCAGCCAGCCATGTTAAAGTCCACAAGTCTTAAAATTGCCAAGGTTGGACATCCCTGCTCTACACATTCAAAGTAACAGCTAAGGATTTTTTTTAAAGCAGCTTTCCAGAAGCCCATAAAAATCATTTTTGGTTCTTTCTTATTTTTTTTTTAAAAAATGAAATATTGTTATATTTAATCCTGGTGGGAACTGATTCCAAGCAAGGATAAATAAAAACAGGAAAAAAAAACATAGAATCATAGATATGGGAGGGACCTCAGAGGTCTTCTAGTCCAATCCTGTGCAGGAGAGGCAGGAGGGCTTATATAAGGAGAAGGAGAAAAGGAGGAAGGAGAGGAGAGAGAAGAAAAATTTCGCTTCCCATCCAAGAAGTTTTATCAGTTCTTACGGTGAGGGGATGGAACTAATGAAGCTTGTTGGATGAGGAGCGAAATGTTTTCATCTTCCTTCTCCTCAAGGACAAAACAGTCCAGTTTTTGAAGAAAGGGCCACCTCTGAGATTCCAGTGACGGAGCACCCACGACTCCAAGAGGAAAGGTATTCGACTGATTAATCGTTCACACTTTCAGAACTAAGCCACGCCCACAGAACCAGTTGTTTAAAAATTTGAAATCCACCCCTACCCTTAAAGTGTTGGGAGATAGTTATCATGTCCTCCTTAATCCTTTACTATTTACTATTGCTATTACTATTAATCCTTCCATCCTTCCTTTACCCATCTCCTCCCATTTATGACTGTATGACTGTAACCTTGTTGCTTGTATCCTGAAGATTTTTATTGACTGTTTCCTGGTATGATTTGATTGCTTATTGTACCCTATGACTATTATCAAGTGTTATGATTCTTGACTCTTGATGAATGCATCTTTTCTTTTATGTACACTGAGAGCATTTGCACCAAGACAAAATCTTGTGTGTCCAATCACACTTGGCCAATAAAGAATGCTATTCTCTTGTGTTCTTTTTTTCAATAGGTTGGATATCTCAACCATTTACTATATGATTTAGCCTGCAGACCTTTATCGTATTTGTAGCTCTTCTCTGCATACTATCTTGGGTCTCAGCATCGAGCCAACTCCTGCTATAAATGCATTTTCACTTGATTTCTCCCAAGCTAGTATTCACACACCAATTTGTCCTCTTGCCTGCTGGGGCTCATCCATGCATTCATGTTGGTCAAGAAGGAATTGCTGAGCCTCGCTGATTATTACACAAGTTACTTGTCCACATTTGAATTAAGTAATTATTCTCATCCTTAAGAGCTTGGAGCATGTATGCTGAAATGGAAATATATATTTGAGTGCACATTCAAGAGGGCTACTTGAGAATTTAATCTCAGAAATCTCTCATTTAACTCATTTGCAGAAGCGATGGCCCAAGTGTATTTAAAAATATTTCCATTATCTGTTGCTTAACACACTTCAAGCCCTCAAACACATGCACGCACACAAAAAGCATAATATTTAACGTTACTTAATGTTCACCTCAATGATTAACAAGGTGCAGCTTCATTAAAATATTTCCACTCTATTCCACACTTGATGTGTGTAAATACACTATCGAATAGTCTAATTTAAAAGGTTTGAATGGGTTTGCATTTTCTGTTTTCCATTCAGTTCAAAATGTTGGTGCATGCAATTATGTTCCTCTAATGTTAAAGAGCATTATGATATCTACAATTGACTCCATTTTATAGTACAGTGCAGCTAGTCCTCCTCTTACGACCACAATTGAACCTAAATTTTCTGTTGTTAAGTGAGACGTTTGTTACGTGAATTTTGCCCCATGTTAGACCTTTCTCACCACAGTTATTAAGTTGAATCACTGCAATTGTTAAGTTAATGTTAAATGAATCCCCATTAACTGTGCATGTCAAAAGGTCGCAAAAGGGGTAAACCATCATAAATATGAGTCAGTTGCTAAGCAGTTGCATTTTGATCACATGACTACAGGCATGCTGCTATGGTCGTAAGTGTAAAAATCGCTCATAAATCACTTCAGTGCTATTGTAATTTCAAACAGTCACTAAACCAATTGTTGTAACTACCTGTATGGACATGCCTTTCTATCATTAATGATTATAATGCATTTTTTTTCTACAACGTAATTTAGTTTAGTTTACTTTATTGTCATTACACCTTGTACAACGAAATTAAATGCCATCTTCAGTATGCATTATAACTATAAAAATAAAACATAAACACACATCCTTCGCATTCTATACAATTGAATTGAAAATCTCTCATATTGCACTAATATTGCACTATATAGTAGCATTCAGTATAGTTACTGCTCTGGGATAGAAGCTGTTTTTCAGCCTATTTGTCCTTGTTTTTATTATCCTGTACCGTCTGCCAGATGATAATAGTTAAAAAAAAGGGGTGCCCAGGATGAGATGGAGCTTTGAGAATGTTTTGAACTTTCTTAAGGCAGTGGGAGCTATAAAGCGCAACCAATGATCTTCTGGGCAATGACATTAACCCTCTGGAGTGCTGTCCTATCTGCCACTGTGCAATTGGCAAACCATACAGAGGTGCAGCAAGTTAAAATGCTCTCTATGGTGCAGCGGTAGAAGGTCACCAGCAATTTTTCATTCAGCTGTTGTTTTCTGAGAAGTCTCAGGTAGTATAATCTCTGCTGGGCCCTTTTGACCAGTGCTGCAATGTGAGCACCCCAGGTCAGGTCCTCTTTTATGATAACACCCAGAAACTTAAAGCTGGCCACTTGCTCCACTCGTTCTCCATTGATAAGCAAGGGCTGGATGGCTGATCTATTCCTTTTATAGAACTCTGTATATGACTCAGAACATTCATGACAATTACCAATTCAGCACAGCTTAGGGTTTTTCCAGATATGTTGGACTTCAGTTGCTTGTCCCTACAATATTCATCCAAACAGCTTTCTGGTAGTAAGCTGGGTAGCAGCAGATCATTTATTTCTGCCTTGTAGCTTTCCATCCAGATCCCCTTTCCAAAATAGCTCTGCCTGAACTAAGAACCCCTTTAAATTGCTCCTCTGAAAATTTATTTCAGTTTGTCAAATGGTAATAGCTGAATATATATATATATA